TAGCAACTGCGAACCCATTTAAACATTGAAGGTTATGAAATGTGTTGTAACGGACTTATAAAGGGCAGGAAAGTTAGTAATGTTTGTGTAGAAAATAACTGGATTGGATCAAAAACTGTTCAAAATGCTAGCATAAAACGCAATCGCTCTGCCGTCATTTGCCAAATATTCAGCTCATTCGAAATAAATATTATAAACGTTGATAGTGCACTTCGGAATTTTATATACTGGACTCCCGGAAGCTCTAGAAGTAGCGTTTCAACATATAAACGTTAAATAGTGAAACCATATTATGAGGGCACATAAATAGTTCATATTGATCGAGGAGAGGGAGCCGAGAAAGTGGCGAAGGTGAGGCAGGAGGGGAGGAAAAGGTACAGAACGAAGGAAAAAGGCTATATGAAGTGAAATAGAGAGGGAACGAAGTACATATATAAAGGGAAACGCACTCGTAAAGGTATCGACCCGGCTCTGCATCTAACTACATTTCGTCTGCATTCACGTGACCTCGCCATATTATATAGAAACACAAGCAAACATAATTATACTCATCTGAACCCTAATATCTTTCAGTACATAATACGTAAGCGTCGCCAGCGTAAAATGCTAGTGTCGGCACGAGGGCAACACTGCGCAGAACGCCAAGCGAAACTGGCTACTCCTCCCTGCATATATCAAGAAGTACATGAAGGAGTTGCAGTATGCCAGCACGAAGCCGACTCCACGCAGTAGATCCAGCAGCTCGTGTCGGATGCCAGCGAGCTTCAAAGCCATCATCAATAAGAACGGCGTCCAGCAGACGAGGAAGGCGCCGACGACAATGCCGAACGTCTTCGCCAGCTTCAGATGCTTGACGAGAGCGGTATAGAAGGCGTGACTCTCTGCAGCTTCCTCTTGCGGACCGCCGGCTCCACTCAGCGGCTGGATGCGCCTCATATGTTGTCTAGCGATCAGCATCATGTACGAGTAGATGGTGACAATGACGATGCTGCACAGACAAACTATGACAAGCATCAGCACTGATGTGGCGTGGCTGATGCTGACGTCATAGATACACGGCT